TCTGTAAACACACAACTCCTCTGTAAACACACAACTCCTCTGTAAACACACAACTCCTCTGTAAACACACAACTCCTCTGATAACTCTTACTTCTGCTTCCTCGCACTGCGTACGCCAGTTTGACATCAGGAAGGAACTTGCCCATCTGCTCGATGACCTGACCGATCTGCAGAGCCAGCTCGTAGGTCGGAGCGATGCAAAGACACTGAAACACAGAGTTGGTTTTAGGACAAGTGGAGACTGAAGACACTCTGATGATGCTCTGCTTACCTGAGTCCATTTATTGGCRGTGTTTACATGGCTGAGCATGGCCAGAGAGAAGGCAGCGGTTTTACCAGTACCAGACTGGGACTGGGCAATCAGGTTCTGAGGTCTAGAAGCACACACAGTGTGTTTAAACACACAAATATCTGCAACGACTGATGAGCTCACAGCCAGTCAGATCTCTGCTGGAAACATAAACGTGTTGTCTGGATGTTTTTCTCTGAACAAGTCAAAGTGAATGAATGAATGAATGAATGAATGAATGAATGAATGAATGAATGAATGAATGAATGAACAAACTGCACTTTCAAAATGTAGAGTAGAAAGTACAGAAAATTGCATTAAAATGTAAGAAATAGAAGTAAAAAGTAGGCTGAACAATAATTACTCCAGTAAATTATAAATAACCACCATTTCTACTTAAAGTATTACTAGTATATATATATATTAGTATTAGTATAAAACATTACTTGAAACTACAGCATCATGCACCTGACTCGTACGGCCCCTCCTGCAGATGGTGGGTCCACAGGAAAGCAAACACATTGCATTGGGTAGAGACTAGGAATGYAAGTTATTGATTAATGAATTAATCTAAAGTTGATTGATCTTATCAATCGACTAATGATTAATTGATAAGTGGTCATTTTTTTAACCTGACATTTCTCTTGAATCAAGGGTCTTTCTATGACATGAACGGCTACTTTTTTTACAAACTAAAAAAAAAGTACAGTATTATTTTAACAATTCATTGTGCCAGCTGTATTAAACACTGACGGAATGAACAGAGAAATGTGGATTTCTCACATTTTATAAATTAAACTTGGACATATTTATAAAATATAACAAAACAGGAAGCTGTTAAGTTGCTAGTTGGAAAAAAAAAAGAAAAGAATAAATAAAATAAGTAAAACAC